GGTTTAGGAGCACGCCCTCTGCACCGTACTACACTGTACTATGCTATGCTTTGCTATACATTACTTTTGCGAGACTATACTGTATACCATACTACATACTATACACTATACTATACTATACTATACTATACTATACTATACTATACTATACTATACACTGTACCACTGTACCATATACTATACTTTCTACTCTGTAGTCTATGCGATATGGTTTTTTGATATACTGTCTACTACATACTATATACCATGTGCTTTATTATATACTTTACTACTGCACATTGTACTATATACTATAAGATATACTACAGAATATACTGCACCGTATATTGTACGGCATACGCTTTCATAGTCTACTATATAAACTAAATACTAAACACACTACGTAGTATACTATCTTCTGTACTACAAAATGTACTTTATTATATGATGTATGCTACTAGACGGTTTAACTACACTACCATTCTTATACTATGCTACGTATCCTCCTATACTACTGTTGATGGACAAATTTCTGCATGACCCAAATATAGTATAGCACCATAAATCTCATAGTTTAGGTATATAAGGTCATGCAGGATTTTGTCCATCAACCGTACCATACCACTATACCCACTATACTATACTTTACACCTCGATACTTCTATTCTATACTAGTAGACCATACTTTACTATCTCATACTGCATTAACTATACTCTCTTCCTGGAGGCCGTTTTCTTTCCAAGCGGCGAGTAGATGCCTTCAAACGCATCGATGCGCGTGAACTTCTTCTTCGCCTCCTTCGTGGCGAACTCACATGGTCCACCCTTTTGGTTCCCTTCATGGTACTGTACCCTCATGGTAAGTGCACCCATATGTGTGTATATATATATATATGTATGTATATAGATGTATGTACATAAGAAAACCGATGCAAATGAGTTTTATCTGCGTATTTGTGTATATCCGCGAACATACATACACACATACATACATGCATGCATACATACATACATACCTACATACATGCCTACATACATACCTACATACATACCTACATACATACCTACATACATACCTACATACATACCTACATACCTACATACATGCTCTCAGCTTCTACACATTGACTAAAGTTTTGTCTGCGACAGTGCATGGCAGCGGGCGTGAGTGTGAGTGGGTGTGTCTGTATGCATCCATTGCGTGTGGAGGGAAGCTATCCACGTGTGGATCTTTGAGAGCATGTATGTGTGTATGCTTGGATGGATGCAATGATGTATGTGCCAAACCCCTGCACGCAAGGGGCGAAGAAGCTTCCTGCGTCGCACTGTATCCAACATGTAGGTCTGCACTCGTCTACAGCGTCTGTACCGACCTGTTTACATTATATATATATATATGTGTGTGTGTACATACGTACATGCATGCACACACACACACACACACGCATACATACCCACACACATGCATACATAATACTTGCATGCAGGCATGCATGCATACATATACGTACATACATACCTACATGCTGACGGACGACCTGCGGGTCGTCGCAACACAAGGGGACCTGAGCCCTAAATCCCAAATCCTGAAGACTGAATTGAAACCCTGAACCCTAAACCCAAAACCCAAAACGGTGCTAAACCGCATACCCTAAACCCTAAACCCTAAACCCTAAACCCTAAACCCTAAACCCTAAACCCTAAACCCTAAACCCTAAACCCTAGCCTCGCCGCCGACGCGCTGCTCGGTGTTTTTGGCGGCCGAGACAGCTGCCTGGCGGGAGCTCTCGGCATCTTCGTCTCGGCTTGGGATGACATGCCCTGGTTTAGGGGTTTAGGGCTTCTCGGCTTGGGATTGCAAGTCCTGCTTTAGGGGTTTAGGGTTTGGGATCTAGGGTTCAAGGCTTTAGGGTTTTTGGGGGTTTCGGGTTCAGGGTTTCGAGTATAGGTGCTGTTGGACTGCGAGCTCTACCTTGGGCAGGTCAACTTGATCCTGCTCTGGGCAAGCGTGGGTCTCTGTGTTGAGGTCTGGGCTGACCCAGCAACGGGTCTTCTGAAGTGAAAGAGGGTTTGAGGTTTAGGGTTTAGGGTTCAGGGTTTAGGGTCTTCTGAAGTGAAAGAGGGTTTAAGGTTTAGGGTTTAGGGTTCAGGGTTTAGGGTCTTCTGAGGTGAAAGCGTCACAAGACACTCTGGCATGGGACCCGAAGCCCAGGGATTAAGCAACCTGTATCCTAAGGTCTATCTGCAGCCTCCCAAGACCCTCTTTAAAGAAAACATATACAACACTCATAGTCAAGAACCCTTCAAAGTGGAGTTTGCTAGGAGCTACATGTAACCCTAAGCCCCAAAGCCTAAAGCCTAAAACCTTAAACATCAAACCCTAAAGCCGAAAACCCTAATTCCTAAACCCTGAAGCCTAACCCCTAAACCCTACACCCTTAAGCCTAAAACCCCAAAACCCTAAACCCAAAGCCTAAACCCTAAACCCTCAAGCCTAAAACCCTAAAACCCTAAACCCAAAGGCTACACCCTAGACCCTAAAGCCTAAAACCCCAAAACCCTAAACCCAAAGGCTAAACCCTAGACCCTATAGCCTAAGACCCCAAAACCCTAAACCCAAAGCCTAAACCCCAAAACCCTAAACCCAAAGCCTAAACCCTAGACCCCAAAGCCTAAAACCCCAAAACCCTAAACCCTTAAGCCTAAAACCCCAAAACCCTAAACCCAAAGCCTAAACCCTAGACCCTAAAGCCTAAACCCCAAAACCCCAGACCCCAAAGCCTAAAACCCCAAAACCCTAAACCCAAAGCCTAAAACCCCAAAACCCTAAACCCAAAGCCTAAACCCTACACCTTAAACCGAAAAGCCCAAAACCCCCAAAACCCTAAACCCAAAGCCTGAACCCTACACCCTAAACCGAAAAGCCCAAAACCCCAAAAACCCCCACTCTTATGGCCTGCTTGGCTGCCGCCTTTTGCTTCTGCGACTTCTCGGCCATGGTTGGCGCCGCGGTCGGGATTTTTCGGGATTAGGATTTAGAGTTTAGATTTAGGATTTAGGTCTTGGGGTTTAGGATTTAGGGTTTAGAATTTCGGGTTTAGGATTTCGAATTTAGGGTTTCGGGTTTAGGATTTCGGGTTTAGGGGATAAACACAAAGACTAGTGACACCATTGTCATGTTCTGGCTACTCAGAGTACTAAAGATGGCACCGGTACGAATACTGCACCTAAAAAGATAAGAGCACCAAGCATTAAACATTGGTTCCTAACGCAACAGCCGATAACTCAAACCAATAAGCACTGAGCTCATGCTCTTAATTTATAACTTTGGGCTTAGGGTTCAGGGTTCATAACCATACTGGAAGCAGGCTCCGAACTTTTCTTCTGTCTCATGGCGTAGTTGGTCACCCGTACTTGAGCAGGGATGTACATATCTTGACGTTGGTATATATATATATATACACACACACATGCATACACATATATGTATACACACAAAGATTCACGGTTTATCGCGGATGTGCAGATATAGCGTAACTATGTATAGAGTTCTAGTTATACCTAAACAGATATATCGATGGATTGCAAAAACTGAATGGAAAGCTGTCGGAAAACGCGTAGCTGCCTCTCAAGGTCTGAACTTGCAAGGCTGCCTGCGCTCAAGTCATATGGGGGGGGGGGGGGGGGGGGTNNGTTACTAAACATAATGGGTCTTGGGGGTATGTTCTTATACTGTAATAGATTTCGATGTATAGTTAGGTAATGATAATTCAGTCTTATAAGGACTTGGAGGCGAACATACGAGCTGTTACTATCATTAAGAAATGTTCCGACTCCTATGTGATGCAACGCCAGAGAAGCTGGCTTTAGGGTCTAGGGTTTAGGCTT